CCATAATTATTGCAACAGGTAACTTGAAATGTGTGTTTTATTTTAGCTTTAACTATATTCAATTTTATGAATAATCTAAGTGATAAGATTAACGATAAAAATTAAATTATTTTTATTTTTCTTTTATTTAAATAATATTTTTATTTTTTAACATGTAAAAAATTGTTTTGGGTATTAATTTTATTTAATGTGAGCTTCGTAAATTTGTTATTTTAAACTATCTTCGCGTTAGCTTCTAGATCAATTCTAAAAACTTATACTTTCGAAGATAAATATAGCAAGTAATTGAATATTTACAAACAGTAATTAGTCACGAGATTATTATTCGTCTTATTATTCGTGAATCATTAATGACTTTAGACTTTTTGCCTGGTTATTTTGGAAGCGCATAATTTCCTGGAATTGTTACGTTTTTTCTTTCGTAGGTCTTTCTGGTGCGATTGTTTTGACAGTTTTAGCGGAAGAAATTGCAACGAAGGCCCATTGTGTTTTAATGATGAACATGTTCCAGTTTGTCAAAATGGAGCTACATGCAGGTATAAATATATGAATACAATATATTTAAAAAAGATTATTTTTTTGCAATAAATGCATAAATAAATACATGCCGTACTTATTTAAATATTTTTCCCAATGTAAACATAATATGACAAGTATTCCTGAATATTTCTTTAAAGAAATATTCTTGTAAATATTTCTTTACGTGTGATAAAAATACATTATTATTTTCGAAATCATGTATACTATTGTGCATAGTTAAAATTACTTTCGTGACTTTTTTCATATAAAATCCAAAAATTAATTTGCAAAATAATTTATGTATCTTAGAAAAACTCATAACTATAGATAAAGACGATTAAAAATAAATTTTCCCAAAAGATGAAAAAATTTGCAGTCTAAATAGTTGTGTTTATTGCAGGCAAATTGGGGCAGAAGCAATGCGCTGCGATTGCCCGGATGGTTATGTCGGACACAATTGCGAAACACGTCTTTTAGATACTTCGGATACTGGTAACATTTCTAACTTAATCAGATAACATTTTATCTTAATTACATTTTTAATTCATTTTATTTTTATATGCAGATTATTCACGCTTTTTATTAAAGATAAGATTGAGTAAAAAACGAGTAAGATTAGACGAGTTGGAATATGTTGCTACAAGTTTGTGTAATTCTATATTGATTGGTTTTATTTCTTCATAGAATGCGCTTCGGAAAATTGCATACTGCAATGTCCCGTTGACGGGCAGGAACAGCCGTGCATTTGCAAAGACGGAACAAAGATATATAACAGTGAGTTTTAATGTTTTGTATATCTAATGGTTGTATATCTAATAGTTTGTTGTAATACATTATCATTGTTTTTTCTTTATGTTTTTCCTTACATTGTTTTCTTTTATGTATCTGTAGCATAATTTCTATATAGTTTTTATTCTGTAAATTTTTTGATCCATTTTTGTCTTAATTTTCCTCCCTCTCTTCTCAAAAAATTTTATTTAAATAAAAACGTTAAATAACTTTGTAATTAAGCTCAAATATATAACAAATTTTAATAAAATATATCGAAATAAAAGAATATTTCAATGCTTAGCTATACATATAAATAAATATATAAAACTTATTTGCTTAAAATATTAACATTTTCACACTTTATTTAAATCATATTCCAATGGAATTATATTCCAAATTATTCATAGAAAGAATTCATAAATAAAAAAAAATGAACTTTGATAACTCATGAATTGTATTCGTAGATCGATCAAGATACGAGTGCAGAATTAAATTATCAAACGTTACATCTCTTCGCACTGGTCTGATATCACAACACGGAAGTTTGGAGTTATTCGTCAAACTAGTGAGTAAAAAAGATTCAGAAATACATTGAACTTTTATTTAATTCTTTGATAAAAAAACATATTCAAATTGTTCAATAACAATTTTATATGAAAATAATGTCAATTTTATTCGACATAGTTATGCCTTTATAAATATTAAATATAAGTAAATATTTGCAATAAGAATATAATCATATATACGAATTTATATGAAAACGAGATATAAATAGATAATATATGGATATAAATGGATTATGTAATGAAGTAGGATTCCTTGTTATTGAAATAGAACGCTCGTGCGCAAATAGTCGTTTTGAAGGTTGTTGAAGATTTTCCTGCGTACAGCTACGTCCGCGGTTTAACGTAAGCAAGAACACATGACGCTTATAAACATAGTTGATGAGCAGAATGCATCGCATCACAATTGTATGTAATTGTATGGCAATTATATGTCGTAACGAATTTCACAGATTTACGTCAATTCAGCTTGAACGTACGTCTGAGCAAACACATAGTACTTTATCCATCCATATATAAATCCAAGGAGCAATCAATTTATTGCGGAAAACAAAATTAATATCTATTTCAACGTAATAAGACAGACATACATCCGAATATGCGTCAGAATAAAATATTAATCAAGCGTATTACCTGGAGATTAACAAATTTACAGCAATTTACATTTTATCTTCCTCTCGAAATTTATGAGAAATCTTTATATATCTATCTTTAGATTTGACAAAAATTGAGGAAAACATTTAAAAATAAATAATCTGTTTTATGATGACACGTTTTAATTTATAACTTTAGTACAATGTGTTTACATTATTACTATGTTAAATATTATTTTATTTAAAAGATGATGTTTAATATATTGAAATAACTCATAACTTTGTACTTTAAAACGTTCTTTATTCCATATGCGTCAATCGCTCAACTTCGATTAAATTCCCATACAGTAGCCGTGTCATAACTGTGATTTTCTTTCCTGACGTTTTCAGGCAAAGAATATCGTCGCAATAGTCTCAATTGTTTTCTAAGGTCTTCACTTAATCCATGTCTTCCTGGATCTCCTATATATATTCGCGTACCTTGTTCATATGCGTGTCCCAACCATGCCATTAAAGTATTCGCTATCTCTTCGTCATACAATAAATCACCGACGAAAATCACATCGTATGGATCTTGTGGAGGTTCTTTTAACAAATTTTTCCACGACACTTCGATGTCTACGTCATTTAATATCGCATTCATCGCAATAGCTATGCAGGCAACTGAAATCAAAGAAACAGATCGTTATAATATCTTAATAATCACTAATATAAAATGTTATAATTTTATAACTGATATATTTTATTATAATATTTTTATACTAATTTGATTTTAATAATTCAAAAATGTTAGAAAAAGTATTTGATACAATATTGTAGAATTTAAAATATTATTTAATTGTAAATATTGTGCATATGTTTCATTCATTCTTGATACTATAATTTTCTAAGTACGTTCTTTATACTTTATAATAATTTTCCTTGTAATTATTGAACAATTCATTAATATCACATACATATTTTGTGACGTGATTGAAAGACATTCTTTCGCAGGTAACTGACCGTATCACGCACGCAGTTATCACTACATATTATCCTACAACTCTGTTATGAGCCATACGCTCTATTAATAGGTATATTCATGAATATTCGTCGCTCACGTTTTTGCATCTGTTAGCACGTCGCAGACGTTGTTTGCTTCATTATGTAGTTTCAATGTTGTATGCAGTTTTCAGGAATACATGATTCACAGTTGTAACGTTACAAAATTATTTTATTTGCAATTCTCGTTAAGGAAACGTGTTTTTCGATTTGATTGCAGAAGTTATTTCTAATATCATTTTAGATGATATTAAAGCAATTTATATATAAATTATCTGAAAAATTACGAATTTTTTGAATTTAATTATTTTTTATTGTCTTGAACTTGTATGTTTATTTGAAAGATAACTAAGAATATAAATAGAATGCATTCATAATATTATCCAGAACATTATCTAAAAAAATCATTTGATAATAATCAATACGTGCAAAGATCAGATCGTTGAACAGTCATTGCCTTTGCGATTGAATAGCACACCTGAGAAAGATAATCAGGAGAAAGTGAAATTCTTGGATATCGATACGATCATATGTCATTGAGTTTTTGTCTGTTATGGCAATTGACTTTGTTCGTGGATATTGGAACGGGAACTGTACGCGTCGTGTATATAACGTCCTTGACTCATATCGATTCGAGCCAAAAGCACGTCAGATTAGTATGAAATACTATGCCAATAACGAAATAATCTTATTCTGCGAATTTTAAAGTTCACGAGAAACAACTGATGTCGGAAAATGATTTGTTTATTATATTCCATTAGAACCTTTCTTGATAAGTATATAAGTAAAGTAAAAGATATCAGTAATACATATACATACAGCAATAATACATTTATTTATATTTTACATTTATATATATTTTTCTTGTTTACTGAATACCAAAATATATATCTACGATATTAAATAATTAAATTAATTAAATTAATATCGGCTCATAGTACCGATATTATACTTCAATATTGGCATAACTCTTCCTTAATAATTCTATCGAAAATATCTCCTTTTTGTAATTTGTCCCTACAATTTTGCAATCTACAATTCTTCTACAGTCTACAATCTTAGCTGAATAATATTCAATTTTTCATTGGTCTGTTAGAAAGTACAGTTCTCACCAGTTAGCATGCTACGCAGATGCGATACTGAGAATCAACCTTTCTCTGACGCATGAAAAGTAATGTCTTCCTCTTTGTACCTGCATAAAAATCGTGGGGAAATCCATTCCTCAATCTCACATTCCAATGTCTTTGATTTAATCCTCACACGCAGGACATATGATTTTTTTTATCTACAGTAATATCAATTTTCCAAAATATCACTTGATTGACATTTTGTATTTTAGTTCTTTTTAAAAGAATATAATAAATAATGTCGTTGGAAACAATGTCATTGAAGAGCTAAAATGCTAATATAAAAGTTGCCAGATTTATAGATATATTTTTTCTAACATGTAATAGCTGCGATGCTGCATCAAGAATTGACGATGTGTCAACGACTTTTAACTGATAACTGACAGAAGTACAATCAGCGAAGAAACATGCAGAAAACACGTCAGAAGGGAGGATCTCCGGCGCAATTCAACTATTGATAGAAATGCTCACGAGGGCGTTAATTCTACGTATTGTGTGCAATATGAAACACGACAGTTATCAACTACTATCAGCATTGTTTTGCTCGGCTCGTGCAATGCAAGTCGTGCAAAGGCACGACAGGCACGCGCACGATGGAACGAGCGAATACATTCGGATGTATTTCTTTTTTTATCACGCCCATGGAATCCGGTCTTATCTGCGTATGGATTCGTGCCAATCATCGGCGTTGCTATGTACATACATCTGTTCATCGATAAACACACACGTAGATAGAGTGACGTCAAAGGGAGAATCTTTTGAGTCTTCCTTTTGGATTCCCAGTCGTTTGATTGTCGTTTTTTGGCCGCCAATATTTTCTGGCTTATGGTGTAACTAAGCATTACAACTGGAAATCCCGTATTACGACGGAATTCCCGTAAGAGACTTCTCAGAAAAGAACAAAATTTCATGGTAATTTTAAGAATTTTTATGGTAAATAATTAGGTATGATATATAATTAGGTATGATATAATAATTAGGTACGTGCAAAGATCAGATCGTTGACCAGTCATTGCCATATGATTAATAATTAGGTAAATCTTAATTAATGTGATTAACATGTATGAGATGCGGATTCCACTTCCCCGCTTTCTTTCTTCATCCTGTTTTTCCGTATTTTCTTGTTTTGTAGAAAAAAGAAGTTTTGTTTAGAGTTCATTAGTCGGACCAAAGTCCGGATAAAATAATCCTCTCAATATTACGTGTTTTCTCGTGCTTTCGATCTTGGCCCAAGTCGCAATTCAAGACGGGCCATTCCCCGAACAACACGGATTCTTTTTTCCCCTCTTCTTCCTTCACATTCAAAGAACTTTGCACGAAGTCAAAGTTTTTTCAACACGTTTATTATTTCGAGGAAATGACAAACACAATCTCGCGTCCACGCTGTTGCATTATCTGCAACATTGATATACGCTTTATGTTTCTTATTCTGAAAGATTTGCGAATTGTCGCAATCGTTGTTTAATGCATATTTGCATTATTGTTAATCAATCAAGTATTTATAATTAACGTTTCTCAATGATGAAACCTATTTTTCCTCTTAATTTTTTAAAATGATTGAAGCGCGTGGTAGCTATTTATCTCAAAGATATATCACATTATTAAAACATAATAATAATAAAAAATATTAATTATATAATTGAAAAATATTATGGTGTCATATTTATCATAATGTCATAGTAATTGCAACATTGATTACTCACAGATATTTGCACGCTCATTCTACATTTTTTTCAGATTAGTAGAGACTTATCTTATTAGAATCCTCTCACATATGGCGTTTTTTCGAGATCTATTTAAGCGATTGTGTTATCAGTTACGTTATCATATAAGAGCGTTGCAATTATAATCGAGCGATACGGCATATCAAGTAGACGAGTTATCCCTAACGCTTCATTTTGTCTTTAAATAACGTAAAAATATATCTTTTTTAAATAATAATAATTTCGAAATATTTATCTCTAAAAATTTTATTTTTAAGATATAACTAATTATAAATTCAGACTCTTTTTAATTAAAAAAAATTTTTTAAACAAAATTTTATTTTATATTTAAGAAAAAAATGTTTACAGATTTCACAGATTTAATTTCATAATTTACAATATATATATCTATTAATGCATTTTTAATATCAAAAATAGAATTATTGTGTCGTATATTCTTGCTTAAAATAGTATTCGT